AGCAAAATTCATTGAAACCATGTTTTGCTGAAGCGCGAGTATTTGAACAGTTGAAGTATGGAAAAAAGGACGAGAAAAAAACACAACACAATACCAACAACATCATAAAACAAAACGAGCAGAAGAGAAAAAAAGTGAATGCAGTCAGAAGGTATGATGAGATGGATCGTTCTCTAGTCTATGAATGTGCACAAAAACATAACATCAATAAAAATAATCGTAATAACAATAATAAAACACACGGAAAATATTCTATCACAGACAGTAGAATGAAAGCGATGGAGCAAAAAAAGACGAAAATTATTATTTCTACATCGTTCTTTTTACTCTTTTTTTCATCTCTCTCACTCTGTCTTTCACATTTATTATTTCAGCAATTTTGTTGCTTTGCACATTATAGCTGCTATTATGAAATTCATCGTCTCATTTTAATTTTTTTCCTCTACTTTCGCCACTTTGAAGCGGCTGCCGTTCCCATTTTTATGCGCGATACGATATGATTTTTTTTCTATTCCACCGAGCTCATTTTGCATTGCAAACGGTCTAGAGGATATTTATGCTGAAGGCATCGTCAGCAACGAGAGAGAGAGAGAGAGAGAGAGAGAGAGAGAGAGAGAGAGAGAGAGAGAGAGAGAGAGAGAGAGATAAAGAGAGATCTTTGCAAGCAGCAACAACAGCCACATATACAAATGCACACACAACACAACGCCAACATCAACGAGGGCATGCACACTCTTCAGGTGCTTTTATCATCTCATCGTCTGCTCAGTCGTCGCATCTCCTGTCTGTTTTACGAAATTTATTTAAATACAGGATATTATATTCGATTTCAGCCCAGACTAAAACGAACACTGAGCTTTATTTTCATTATGATTTAAATGGGGAATGCAAGCATGCACTTAGACACTTGCACGCATCTTGCAAAATGCATATAAACTCACAAACATGCTGCAACTTTTATTTTTGAAATTCAATTCATTCTCGGATCAGGATCAGGGAGGGAAAGAAAGAAAAAAATGTATCAGCACTTCTAGTGCACTTACACTTTTTTTACATTTTACATATAGCACGTAAAATATATGCCTAAGTCTATGAATGCGCAAGACATAAAAGTGCATTTGTATCATGAAGTTCATGTGTGCTCGAAGTACTCACCACTGCCAATGCGTGTTTTTGTCTCTCTCGCTTGTGGTATGTGCACGGTACAAATTCAAAATTACAACGTGAACTAGCACAAAAAAGGATTATAATATGAACAACAAATTAGTGTTAATGCCGGAAGATTATCTGAAAGTGAATTTGAATGACTCTCATCAATCTCGTTGAAGTACCCAACTAGTTTAATTACAATGTAAATATCCAAAATCACAATAATTTTACTCCATCTATTGATCGATGCAACTATATGTTGCAGGTGTTTTCATGCCAAATATATGACTCTTTGAATACACATTTTTTAATTGTTGAATTGAAGAAGAAACCTTGGTGCTGACAGCTATACTCACTTTTATTTTTATTTTTCATTCATTTGGTACTAATATTGTCGTGACATTTCAGGCATGTGATTATAATACTGTACATTTCAATGAATGGTATTTGTAAATTTTCTAAATGAGCAATAACAATGCAAATCGATCAAATACGTAATTCTTGAAGCATATTAAAGATGTCATTCGAAACGATGATGCCGGAAAAATTGAAGGAAATCAAATAAAGCCCCAATAATCAAAGAAGCATAAATTGAATTGCGTGATTAGGGGCTGTTTGTAAAAATATTTAAACTTGATGATGTTCACAACTGAAACGAACTTGGTATTTTTTGCTCAATCGTTATCTTTCTTTCTCGCTCTCTCTTCAATTCATTCGAAGCAAATAAGCTCTTAGCATTCCACATCATGTTTTCAAATCATTTCGTCGAAGACATTTATTAGATCGTACACATCTCATCGTCAAGTATGTGCAATGGATGCATGAAATGTCATATTCAAATTAAATTTGCATTGTGCATCTAGGTATAGCACATAGATGTAGATATGCGTATCTTGTACATGTAATTTAGGGGCTTATATAACTTCAAATGGGTATGCAGATCGCAAGTATATCTGGAACTTGACATAAGACTTACAATTATCTGTCAATATTCCTAGAAACTTTCTGATCAGGAATCCGACAGATATAATGAAAATTTCAACGTGTTGAACAAATAAATATCTTCAGAAAACAACCCCTTTCTTGTAATTTTCGCAAATGTGAGATTTTCCCCGTTCGACAACTTCCGAATCTATGCTGAAAAATGTAAATTGATACTACAGGGATGGAAATGGATGGAAACCCTAGTATTTCACACTATGTTATTGGATTTTTGAGTAGCGGCGCTTATGCAATGCGTCTAAGTGAATTCATCGAGTTCGATCTCCACTTAGTTTGTTAACCCCTGCAAAATCGAATAAAGTAATTGAAAGTTTCGTGCACACCAAGTGGAAAAAGAGAAAGAAAAAATTAACGTAAACAAGATCCATGTGTGGATCGACATGCTCTTATTATTCACATAAGTACGAAAATACCTGTTCAAGCGATTCAGTGCGCATCGTTCGAAATCGTTTCCCCGTCGAATACAAACGGTAAAGGCGATGAATTGAATACATATTTGCCACTCGGCAATCGAAATTCAGCCAGATTATACGGTTGATATTAGGAATTCTTTTACATCAGAATACGTACGTACAAGAGTTTCTATTGTCCATGGATTTGATTCTAATATATCGTTTCGTTCATAACACACGAGGTGATGTGTACGACTTTGGTATAAATGATTCTCAGCATTATGAGGCACCTTCTCTCTCTCTCTCTCTCTCAACACTCACAGTCCAAACTAGTGGCCAAAGCATAGTCATCTTTGGAAAAATGTGCGAATACGAATGCGAATCAAACAATGTGTGTGGCTGGCTGTTGGATATAGCACATTTGCAACAGCGGTAATGTTGTGTTACAACGATTTCCGATATGATTCCCTGCGCTAACACAAGCGGCAAACATATTTGTATCATCTGAATAGCTGGTAAAACTGATGAAAACGTTTCCTCGCTGTTGGTTTGCGGCAACTGAAAAATCGCATGAAATCCAATAAATTACATAAAACCTTTATATGCACATGCACATATACATGGCATACGCCAATGTTGCCCATACATCGACGAATGGAGCAGCAAAAAATAAATAAATATAAATTCTTTGCAACTGTTCATTCGGTATTCGCAATCGCTCTTTGCGATATTCGTTACTCTCAGATATGTTGATTGAATCGATTTTCAAGTTAATCAAACCAAATTTTTCAATTGACGATTGCATTTTTCTTAAATGAGCATTCATTATTTTCGCTTGCGTTAAAGTCTTAATGCAAACATACAAGTATTGACGTTGCCATTTCAAAAACGTTATTTCAAAAATTTTGTCATTGTCGTGAACGACAGAGTTTTCTTTCAATTGTATCTTGTTTTTGTTGGATTACGTCGCTGCAGATAGGCGATCGTTTTGACAAAATGTAAATGTGTATTCAACGAAGTCATGTGAATAATGCGTGTGTGTGTCTGTTCGCAGTACATATACAAATTCAATCTATTGGTGCTGTGATTGGTTGCGGTTGGCGCTAATTTTACTACATGCATTATTTTTTTAGTTATTGATAGAATGGGAGACAGCGTCACACGATTTTATCCACTTGGATTTTCGTACATGTGACTAAAATGCCTTTACAATTGATGGTGATAACCAATTGATTAAAAAACACATCCAAAAAAAAGTTGCGCACAACTCAAACTTCGATGTATTTATGTTAATGATATGTGAAATATTCAATGGTCATTTTAACATCTAATACTGTCATCACATTTCATGTGAACATTTGATTGACGAAAAACCAAAACATATATTCACTGACCAAATACTTAGGCTATTAAATTGAATATACCCAAATCCAATCATAAAAGTGAAAACATTTGTCAAGGGGGTAGACATGATTCAAATGATTCGTTGTAATTCATTTGTGATTTGAATGATTTGAATCTATTTGACAAGTGACTTTACAATACTAAAACAAAGCATAAAATTCAATAAAATAAATTAATTAAAAAAATCAAGTATATTTCGTTTATAGTTAAAACATATTTCGAAAATATTAAATCTCTTTGTATTTTTATTCTTTAACTTGATATGTCTCTTGATATAACATGCATGCAAACATCGATAGTCAACTTCACTGTAAAGTGTCACACGAACTGTCAAGCGGTGATTTGAAATGATTCGAAAAAATTCAAAATGATTTGAAATATTTATAATTTACTCGCAATAATTTAAAGAGATTTATTTTTTTCGTATAGATTTGTTCTTTTGGATTGCGTGTCTACCCCCTAGACATTTGTTGTGAATTTATTGGATCTGATGGTGATTAAAAGCAAATGCATTTACAAAACACTATGCAAAACTATGGCCAACGAACGAAAAAAAGAATTGAAATGTCATATGCTTTTAAATTTAAAATCAACATTTGAAGTCTGAAAAAAAAAGAAACAGAATTATTTATGTAAAAATGTTCACTCTAAATGGATTTTGATATGATTTTAATGAAGGTACTTGATCATCATATCGATATCAATGGCTTTTATCTATGTAATCGGGTAGCACACATTTTTCATAAAGAAAAACGATGTATGTACAGCGTTGGTCATGCCACGTCCACTTTTCCGAGTGTATACACTCGTTCTGTAGAGCTGATGGAAAAAGCATTTTGATGAAAACAGCAGCAACAGCAGCAATAACAACGGCGACGGCGGTGGCGGCAACTTTCACCACCACATCACAATCATCCACTCTTCGAACCAGAGCAGCAAACGAAAACAAACGATATAATATGAGTGTGTACCGTGCTGGTTATGTTTTAAGCATTGCCGCTGCCGTTGTCGTTACTGTATTGTCAAAAAAGAGTTTAGTCTTCTGTGCAATCTGATAGTGTACGGGCGTGCTAACGCTTCTCAAGCATTTATTCTCTTGTTCCGCCACATTTATCCACATACACACATTATTAATAAAAATCCTTAAAAAAAATTGTCCGCGTGTCCTCAAATAAAAATTCAAGCAAAACAAAAACGAACAAAATTCATCAACATCATATTGTTTACTGTGGTCTAAAATAAAGCCCAGTTAATCCATCAAAACAACATTCGATAAATCATCAACAACATCTACTACCACCACAACAACAACAACAACTACAACAGCAACAACAACCGTTGCAACTGACAAAGTAACAAGAAAATCGAATTGGCCAAGACCTGAGAGTATTGGATTTGTTTTTTTTATCAAACGATTGGAAAACACAGTCTCAATTGCGTATGTTCTGATAGAATCAATTGTTGTCCGGCAACATTTTTTGTTGCCAATTTATAGATATAAAAATATATATATTTTTTTTAACACTTCATTTGTTTATTCGTCAATATATTAACGAGATTACAACATAATAATAATCAATATTTAACAATCGTTATCATTGTCGGGCATCGTAAAATCATAACAACAACTCATATTTTCCAATAATACAAACGGTTACGATCGTTTTAATTTACTACTCATTCGATCGACATTTTTCATTTTGCGACTATTTTTTTGCCATCGTTTTTTAAGCGATTTTTTTTTTCAATTGTAATATTAATAATATAAAAATAAAAAAAAATGTAGCCCCACGAAAACAAAATATTGAATCATATAATGGAAATAATCATCATAAATCATTTCGGGAAAAATTTATAATAATTATAAAGGAAAATATTCATTAATTTCGGAAATTTATTGGATGTATTGCACTCAACATAAGTACATGTGTACGAATCACCAATTATTCGCAATAACTACAGTTATATACAGTTGAACATCGTTTCATTTACGAGCTATAAATACTAAAAAAGCACATACACAATTACTTACACGAGAGAAAGAGTACACGACTCACGGTAAAAACCGTAAAAATAGCAAATCACTTTAAAATCCATGAAGCAACCCGCCAGCCAACGCTCATCGACAAAAGTCGACAGATAGAAATAGAGAGAGAGAGAGAAACGAAAGACAAAACTCAATAATAAAACTCGTCAAAATGGCCAACATAAAAAACCATAATAAAAACTAAATAGCAATGCAATAAATAAAGTCAACACTTTATTGATGTAAAAAGGGATAAATGTAACAAAATAAAATCAGAATTTACAGATAGTAAAATAAATCATTCGCAAACATAGTAAAAAATTTATCAAATCAGCACGTGAAATAAACAAAACAACAAACACGAAAATTATAACAAAGTAGAAAAAATGATCAAGAAAAACAGAAGGATGAAAATACACGGCTAAATCGGTATTTGAAAAAATAAGAGCACGGGAAAAATGAATATATATATAAAGCGAATGGCGCGCGTTCGCTAAAATAATACATCGAATCATTTACCTGTCCCGTGTATTCTATGTGCCCTCTTTTTTTCTGTCTTTTATTTTATTCGTCTATTTTATTTGATTTTCTCACATAACACTCGACTTTTAATAAACTGAAGAGTAAATAAAATGAAGGCAACGGAAATAAAAAAAGGAAACATCAAAAACGTAGATACGGTTGAACTTCGTAAAAGAAAAAAAAAACAAGCAGATTTGACAAAAAGAGCGGAAAAAATAATTTATACGATCGATGGCTCTTCAGTAAACGCGGTTTTGTCGGGAGCGGGGGGCGCGCGCGTACGCATGAAAAAGTCAAACAATGAGTGTCACCAGAATACTCGCATAACAATTTAAATATATTCTCTTTTCTTATCTGCTTAAAAATTCTAAAGTTTGTGCAAATTGTTTTTATACCAAATACAGCGCGGGAATTTTTCCAATAAGTCAACCAGAGGAGAGAGAAAAAAAATACGTTCGAACCACGAGTATTGAAAGTATAAGAAGAATAGAGAAATATCGAAAAAGAAAAGTACAGAAGGATAGCTGAAAAAGAGCAAAACGGTACAGTAAAGCTGTGAAAAATAAATGAAAGAACTCTGACACAAATATACACACAGAGACAAAGCGAAAGAAAAACGGCGCATCATTAAGAAAGGAAAACAAAGAACTGATCAAAAACTGTTTTATAGTACTTTATGCATATCTGTTCACATATATAATAATAAAAATAAGACAATTCGAATTGAGAGCGTATCGTGACTCAAAGGCGATAGTTGAAGAACAGACAAACGAAACACACAAAACGAATAATAGAAAGCGAGTACAAGAAGAGAGAGAGAGAGAGAAAGAAGAAAGACATCGAGTCCGGATTGAATTGAACCAACTGAGAAGGAGATATAAAAAGCGGTGTGATCCTTTCTTTTTATGAACGTTTAATGTGGAGTGTTTAAGTGCGATAAAAACTGATAGCAAAAAAGTGTGAATTAATTGAAATTCATTGTCAACGGATTTTCTACTGCTAGAACGAAGTTTCGCTTCTACAATTTAATCTTTTTAAAGCGAAATCTTTCCATTGAACTCAAAGGGAAAAAAACTGACTCATCATCACAACCACTACCATCAAACATTACCATCATCATCACCACCATCGTCATTACCTCTGTCGTCACCGCTGCAGCTGCCGCTTATACCGTATCCGACAATTAAATAGCGAACCAGAGATACTGGAGACGTAAACGTAGTCAAACAAAAAAAAAGTAAGTAACATTTGATTGTATTTTTAAATAATTTGGCCCTTGTCAAACGAATTTCATGCAATGATGCATACGATAAGTATATGCAACCAGAGTAAATATAAAAGGAGACAAAGAGAGGAAGAGAAAGAGGTGGGGGACGAGAAATCAAAGGCGAATATTATTAAAACTTTATTAATTTTTAAAAAGAGTCGAAAGTAAGTCATCGACTTATTATTGTGAGAAAAAAGAATCAAACCGAAAACGAAAAACAAATACGAAAATTTCTTCAAAGTTGAGGTAAAAAAAAGTTTTTTTTTTGTTGATTGCTTAGACAGATTCGTTATCATATAAACGAATCAAATAAACGGCGTCAATTCTATAATTTTTTCGTCTCTGTTATTTTCGTCTATTTATTTTTAAATAAATTCAAACGATATATCTGTGATCAATTTGCATTACATAAAGATTCGAAAATTATGGGTGTTGGTCAAAAAAGAAATGTCAATAAAATGAAAAAGAAAACTGGCCGTGAGGAGCCCTATTTTAATGCCACAATTAAAATCCATAAAAGTTCTGTTCAGCATGGAGCAGACAGTAGACAACTTATTTCTCGTTTTTTTTTCTATGTCGTCTCTCTTAATTGGATTTATTAGAAAACATGACTAAAAAAAGACGAAAAAAAACGTGTAGAAATAGAAAATACATAAAAAAGTACACGGCGAAAATGAGAAAACACCATTTCCCGTTATTTGAAATGTGAATTATAATTTGAATGGAATCGAATAGGAAACAAACAAATGTATGACAAAAAAACAGTGCACTGCACCATGTGAAACCTTAGAAAATATCGGCGTTCTCTCTTGTAATATAATTGCTAGAATCAACGTGTGCGGCTTTCAAATTGAAGACGATCGGTCTTTCGGTTTTACGTAAACTAACTCGAACAACAATAGAATAATGGACATAACATCAGTAAGGCTTCACTAATAAGATTTAAAATTTTTTGAAATCAATCTGTGCTGCGTAGTGCAGTGCCAAGTAATCGAAAATCATTATTCCATCGCCTAAAGTCAAAATCACACTCAACTCTGGCATATAAAGTGCGCGACTGTCTTTTTTTAAGCGAATCATACATGCATTCATAAATACTTGACTGAAATTCCATTCAACTGGCAAATTAAATCATCGAGGAAAATCGCCTTGTAACCAGAGCCTTCCTAACACATTTACGTAAATGTTATGAATACTTGTGTTGAAAAGCCGTCGGTGTATCGCACACATTATTTCTAAACTAATTGCAATTAAATTAACTATCGCAAATATTTGCGAAAGAAAACTGTTGGTTGGTTCCTTTAAACCTGTTAAAATCTCTCTAAAATCATAACAAGTGGTAGTAGAGAGGATTTGGCGATAAGAAAAACGTAAATTAGAGCCACAAAGCGACAAGTGAATTGAAACATTGAAGGGATTAAAGTCTACTAATGTATTAGATTTAAATATCATGCGAAAGCGATATCATTAACGTCGTCATATGTTGGTTTTATCATGTTCGATCTAATCTTATTACAACTAGCATAAATTTTGGGCGCTTTGATTCCTTCTTATTTAGCGAACATATACACATATATTAGTTGGTAATTTGGAATTCTATTTAGATCCACATTAACGTTTGCTCACTTTAAATCGACGTACATAGACGCTTAACTCCACTTCGGTATTATTCACCATCGTTACGTTTAATTGAACAATTTTAGTATAAAGGAAAGATGAAATTATGGTTTATTAACCAGATACTGTGCAATATATGTGAGAAAGAGCGCTCGGAGGAGTAAAATATTAAAAGTATTTATGATTTTAGATATCTGCTCCGCAGAGCACTCCTCGAATATATTGCTCTGAGAAACAATATCTGCAATTGGAATATATTGTGTGAAATTTCAACATTTATATTTTTATTCGATATTCATTTAAAATTGATCGATGAATGTCGTATAGCGTCAATATTTCAACGTCCGAGAGTTAGTCAATTCATCAACTTCAACTTCATATTGATGATTTCATCTTGTCAAGATTATTGTGAGTAAATGGAAAATTCCACTTCAATGGTTTTGATATACTTGTGAGATACATGAGGTGTGCTCATAGCTATAACAAGGAGTTGTTGCCTCTATTGATCCTATAATTGACAACTTAATGCAATCGAACAAACTCACTATCTCTTGAACACAATATTAGCCATAGTCACAATGCACAAATGATAGCAAAATGCAAGCAAAAGACAAGGTAAATGATATTCATTTGCAGTAAATAGCTTAAAATACGAAATCATTAATGGCATTTCCGTATTTGCGATGATATGTTGTTGAAAATTCATGTTGGGCCAACGCAAAGGCAGAGTGCAAACAATACATATGTGAGTTAATGTGAAGCTGTGTTTGAAATGCTTAAAACTAAAAACAGCTTCATGTTTCATCGAATATTATTACAAATAAGACTTTTTGCCATCACAATTATTCGCAAAATAACAATAATATTTTAAGTGTGTTTTCTGTCTTTTGGGTAAAAGCGCACACGGAAGCATAAAATATAGTTGATTTAAAATTGGAATCATTGCATCACCTCTACAGTTACAATATTAAGAAATCGAATAAGCTGCAAGAAGAAAACAAAAACCAAGTCTGTGCATGTGATTTTCAGATGACGCATATATCGTTGAATTTTGCAAGAGTTCAATGAATGAGAAGAGCGACCAATTCAACGAATATAATGCTAACTACAAACAATATTAACATTGCACACAATTCGCGTGCACACCACAAATTGTTGATTTAAATTTCTCGTATGTCTGAAGCTAATTTTGGTACGCAAATGCATCGAGGAAAGGAGAGTGAGAGATGGAGAGGAAGAGAGAGAGAGAGGGATAAAGAAAGAAAAAAGGACAAGTTGACTTTACGAAGAGAAAAAAGGCATACACCGGCACATGTAACGAAGCTGAATGCAAAATTGTGTTGTACCAAAAGAGTGAGACAGTGAATGGTTTCGAGAGAAGAAAGAAATTGGTTAAATTTAGTCGATGCATACAATGCATGGGCACAGGCTTAAAAACGACAGATAGATCGTACATGAGCCATAAATAAGTTTTAGACATTTTAAATAGCATTTTTGTTGATTTTCAACGTTTCAAATTGAAAATGTCGTTGAAGACCTCTCGACAAATCGAGAAAGAAATAAGACAGAAAAAAAGATGGGACAAAAAATATTCAGCCAACAAAACAGTCGAAAAATAGTCCTAGCGAGACAGAAAAAAGAGAAAACATCAGCCCCACACACAGACACGGACGGTGTAAATGAAAACCGATTTTGAAATGAGTATGTCACGCTATATATGTACGACACGACAAGAGTATTGCGAATAAAATTTTATAAATTATCGGCGTATTTTTAGTGATGCGAGCTCACGTACTGTATGTAATTCACATTTCATGCCATTTGAAGCGACAGTATACCATATTCGTTTCGGGCTATTGTGTCCGTTTGTCGACATCAATTTCTTTTTTTGCGCAAATACTTTCAAAAAACCATGAAAAGAATCAAAATTCTTTCAATTCTATTCTATTATCGAACATTTTACGATTTATATTTTAGAATTAGCATCAACAACAGCAACAACGAAAACAACATTTGAGTTGTATACATTTTTACAGAACCATAAGCACCATAACGCACCATATCCACTGCAATTGTTGATGACCTGTAGCGAGAAAGTTCAAGTGTCCATTTGGTAAGTGGCCATGAATCGTTTCGAATGCTTATCAAGTCTTAAGAAAAAACCATCAAATTGTAAACCGAACGGTCAAAACTTGATGGAATTAGCAGCTTTTGAACGATGCACTTCACCAATAAAATAAGTTCAGAATAGTTGTTGTAACATATGCAAGTTGAACATCTCTGACATTATTCTAAAACGATGACAGACCGCTATGCAATAAACGGCAACATTTCACGGCGCAACATTGTTTGTTGTTGTTGACTGGAATACTTTGCAAAATTTAATGAACTCATATCGTCTGTGCAAGCAAGCCTTTATATTTTGCCGTTTTGATTTGATCTATTTGGGAATGTTTCGAATTGATGCGTTCGCACACAATTTTGTACGTGTTAAGCAAGCGTATTAGAAAAAAGAATTAAAAGAAGGAATTCATGATGATACATGAGCGTAGCAGGTTGCGACAAAAAATAGCGACAACATCAAAAATAAAACAACAACGCAAAAGATAACAAATAAAATTAAATGAAAACACAAAACGTTGTAATGAAAATTAATTAAACTTCTGCACATAATTCTCTAGTATTTCGTTCCATGAGTATTTAAATATATGTTGTTTGCGTCACCGTCATCATCGCTGATTCGAAAGCGCTGAGGTGTATGCGTGAAGTATACTTGAAGCCGAACGACATCATGAAATCATGATGGATTCATTTTTTTGTTCAGTATTTCTCTTTTTTTTCCATAATTTTGCGTATGGTTGTCGTTCGTTCTTTATTTATGTATGTATCAATTGAACTCACCAATCTCGACTAAGTGTAATGCTCCTTGATTCTTGTTCGACTTCTTTTGAATTTCTTTTATTTGAAGCTGCTTCGTTAAATTAGTCTTCTTCTTCTTCTTTCGTTCGTTTGCATAATACAATAAAATACCAACAGACTTTATCATCGGTTTTAAATTTCCTGTTGAGCTCACATCATTTCAACGCTAGATAAAATCTTCTAACAGTTTATTAAAATGATAAAAAAAGCAAACGCAATATTTTTATTTGTCCGTCTGATTATGGAAGTCTCCTAAGTCGAATTTTATTTCAATCAAACTGTTGTTTATTTTGATTGTGAATATCAAATTGTTGTTTGTAATATTAACGACAACGATTTTTGTTTGGTGTGTTGTTAAACGCTAAAAATAATCACTTCAAATAGCATGTTCGTCTATCGAGATGCAAATTTCGAATGAATTTACGGGACTTAGA